TTTGTATTCGCCGGGGATACCTATAGCTATAAGTAAGCTGTTGTTAGACGCAATGTCTGTCAACTTAGCTTCATTGTGGGAGGGTCCATTTTTCAGAATGTATAAATCATTACTTACTGTACATTTACCATACATATTGAGGCCTAAGTAAATTCTTAATTATTTCTGTCAACTTCTTTTTCCGCCGTTTAATTGCAGAGTCTTTTGTACGTTGACACCTCTCAATGTTTCCAAAACCGCCTAACCGTTTGATCAAGAAATAACAACCGCTCCCTCACTTAAGCTGGCACACAATAAGCTGACAGATAACAGTCGGGTTGCCAGTTAGTGATACCCTGACAATTTTGCCCAGTGCTTGCTCCATGGGTGTTTTTCGGGTAATCCAGTATTTTTCTAGTAAGATTGGGTGCCTATATATACTTTCCATATGTACAAAATCTGACATACTTTTATTGGAAATAACCAGGCCGATAAATACTTTTCTGGGAAAGTATCTTTAATATGTACAGATTGATAATTTAACATTTAATTAAAAAAACGAAATCAAAATACCAACACTGGATAATGATCAGGTTTGGATTCAATCAGATTTGAACTAGGTCCATCAGGTTTCAATGCTGCCAATAAAAGATGGGGTTCAACTTCCATTTGACACAAACTAGATCATTTTGGGACTAATATATGATTCAGTTTTATTTTGATAATTATCTTGAGCATAGGGATCTTTAGCAGTGTAAGGAAATTGGAGGACCCTACTCCTTGTCATGTACAAGACTATACCAGACTCCATGAGATACTTTATGATCTAAAGCATGCACTTTAGAATATTAATCCCTCCCCATAGAAGAAGAAAATGGCTATCAATTTTCTTTGATATTTAACTATCAGGGTAATACCTCCTTGTAACTAACACTGTATCCTGCCTGGGTATCATTATCATTTAATCTTGTGTTTCTAGCACTAATTTCTTTCACATTCGTTTAATATCAAATCTTTGTTTTCAGATTCCTAAAAATCATTTAAAATGACCCCAAATCATCTAATTTGTACTTGTGTCCAGTTTAAAGTTGACTGATTAATTTTGATAATGATTGTCCAATTTACAAGTATTTAATCTCCAGACGACTGTTCAAAAATCAATCATTATACTTATACATCAATAATCAATTGGGTTGTTTATTTTTTAACAGTGAAAGAGAAATTAAACACTTGTAAATTGGACACTCATTGAGTTAAGGCTTCTAAACTTTTTAGATGCCACAATTATTGTCCAATCCTTTTGAATGCACTTATATTGCTGGTAATGGTATGTTTCTTTTCTTGACAAGCTATGTTTCAAATGTTGCAATATCCAAATTTTCTTGTGTTACTCAGTGCGGATGGTTTTAACGTCGGACCAAAACTTTTCATGGGTAAATGAGCATTGTCTCAGCTATCAAGTTTTAGAAAAGGAAATGACATGGTAGAACTAGAAACCATTGAGGCTACTGGAACCAGACATTATCGTATTATTTCAGACTTAGATTTAGTTGAACAGGCCCGGTTAAATTGATGTTATGGCGACACGTTATACAACTTGCTTACACAGTAAACAAAATCAGGATCTGAAGATAGAGCACGTTCAGCATTCTTACAAGAAATTTGGTAGACCCAAACTAACATAAGCTTAAAGTTATTATGTCTGAGACAGAATGAGATTACTGATTCAATAATTTGATCTTTTAGATTACAGTTCATCATTCCATTTACACAGTGGTAATGGTTGGACGTTAAATTCTATTTCTATTAAACCTTTGATACTACCGGTTTTGATCGTAAAATGTACGCAAGTAAAACCCTTTTTTTAAAGGACCAATATTTATACCTGAATACAAGCATAAAGCCTCATGGGAAGTAAAATAATCCACAGTTATTCCATAATTAATAATGTATATTTTTTGAAAGCTAATACATGTATGTTCATCTTGAAGATTTACATGCAATTTTAAAGGTGTAAGTAATATCAGACACAAAATAATTTTGAGATAGAAAATGCTTCCCATACACATTTATAGATGTTAAGGTAAATGTTAACTTTCAGAAAGAATGTTATTTTGTCACATTTATCAACTGCATAAATAGTTTGTGTAGCCGAGCTTTTTAACTCGGGGATTTGCGGGTTATAGAGGAGATGAACAGCACTGGTTTAAACATTTTATTCATTCTGAAACAACCAAAACACAAAACAAAAACACTGAAAATATAAATGCAAATAGATTACACACATGTCAGACAGAACATAATCAAAATAGAAATAAATATACAAAAGAAACATAAAATACGAACTAAATACATTTACAAACATTTAGAAAGAAGAGGAGAACAAGAAAACTAAACATACCCTGGGAAAAGTGTCTTAGTTATATTATATACCAGTAAGGAAGAGCTATATTACACACGCTAAAATAAAACAAACACCACAATAAATAAATACCACGGTAAAAAGGGAGAAAAATGGCGGGAAAACTAGAGATATAAATTATATATAAATTAGGGAAATACCCATTACAAGAATTATTACTTAAACTACTGAAATAAACCTAAGCTAAATAAATATATTTAATGATAGATAAAACCTGATCAGATTATAAAAACAAGAAATAAAATATACCTGAATCTAGAGAAAACACACAAAGGTCTTGTAATCGGTCATGTCAAGAAATAAGTCCTGTTTGAAACAAGAAGGTGCAATCCAGGTAAACTCATTAAAACAACAAGACAATATATACATGTACACAACAAAATTCACAATGGAAACTAAAAATGATAATCAACTACCTTTCCTTGATGTCTGTGTATCCAGAACCAACAACTCAATCTGTACCAGTGTCTACAGGAAACCAACCCACACCGACCAATATATTCATTTCAAATCCAATCACCCGAATAGCGTCAAATTGGCCACAATTTCAACTCTGGTGAACCGTGTGAAAAAGACATGTGATCCTGAGAGCCTCTCCAAGGAAATAGATCATCTCAAACATGTCTTCACAAATTTCAACAGCTATCCAGAGAAGTTTGTGACAGACACCATCAATAAGACTCTGTCGGCGAGTGCAGCTAAACCCAAAACCCCTACTGCCCCAGTCAGAATCTTCCTTCCTTTCAACGGCAAAGTCTCCTACCAAATTAAACGGCTACTAAGGCAACAACCAGAAATAGATGTAACTTTCACAAAAAGTAACAGCAATAAAGATATACTAAGAGCCAATGGTAAACTAAATCCAACACAACCACCGCAGCCAAAGGGATGCGTTTATCAAATAGTGTGCAATTGTGAAAGCACATACGTGGGGGAGACAAAACGACCATTAAATAAAAAGGTAGACGACCACAAGTTGAAAGCAGCAACCAACAACTCAGCTGTAGCTGAACACTTGAACTCCAACCCCCGCCACAGAGTCCAGTGGCAGTGGTCTAATGTTAAACCACTATGCAAGAATATAAACAACAAGAGGGCATGCCGATTGCATGAAGCCATTCAAATACGAAGACACAAACCAACGATGAACAGAGATCATGGATTGTTCCTCCCCAGGGTGTATGATACTCTTATTACATAATTATAGACTAAGCATAATAATTTTTATTTAAACACATTTAATAATAACAATATTCTAGTTAAAATCTAAGGTTGTAACAATTACTACAATTTGTAAAAAAAATGATAATTAATAATTGGCTACTATTTTTGCTTTTCAGAGCTGCTGTTATCCATATTCAATGCACTTAATAGTTCAAATCCTGCCTTTCCAAATAACTATAGCATCCAGTGGAAATACTACTCACTAAGTCAAATAGTCGGCCTTCAGGAGACCATTGATCATTTGTGCAGTCATATTGTTCTAAGGGTTTTTCGTATATTAGTGGAATCACCTACATCTACATGCATATATCAACATTTTTCGTTAAAATACCAATCAAATCTCATCTTTTTAGGGTGTTGTCATTATTAAAACCTGATCAAATCATTGTAAATACTCCACAACAAGCTATTCATTGATCATTTGTGTTTATTTCAGATAAAGTGGTCGTGGATAACATTTTATCAAATTCCATCTTCTTTGATCGTTTGTATTATTAAAACCCAATAAATCATTGTATATACTCCATAACAAGTTAGCCATTAATCAACTAATAAATTTGTGTTAATTTTCAGGTAAATTGGTCTTATTGAATGTTGTTATTAGCATTAAACTTTATAATCCTCATTTAGATTAGATTAGATTCCATTTAGGTACACGTAATTAAGGGGTATCTCTGGTTGATCAGCATTAATTAAGTATTGTTGAGTACATGTATATATTGTTGTGTTATATTTTCATATTTTATCATTTCTTGATAATGACTAGAGAAGCCTAGTCGAAACATCGCTCAGTAAGAAGCAGTAATTGTATTCCATAGAATTGTGAGCTGTATACTCCAGTTCTATTACTAAATGCCATTGAAACAATTCATTAAAACAACTCAGTGACCACAATTACAACACAACACACTGGACACCACATCTTGGCTGGACTCCAATATACCAAGCAGATATAACCACAAACACCATATATTACATAAACATTATTTACATATATACAACAAAACATTAATAAACTCCACCTTACTACATTTGGAAAAGATGTGACATTTATCTTAAATTACTGCTAGAGGTGAAGACAGTTGCGCTGATTCAGTTGCATAACTCCAGGATATAGTTAGTATTTTAATAATGAAGCAATCCTCTCCAGAATTATGTCAATTTGTACTATGGATTATCTGGAAATTATTTATTGAGGTGTTTATGGTAAGTATACTGAAGTTGCAAAACTGTTGCAGGAGTCTCGTAAATAAGTGAACTTACAACAGGAGAAGCAAATTACAGGCTATTTAAATCTCCAGGAATACAATTAGCCGATGGGATCAATATTTGATAGTTTTCAATGTCTGTTTTTAAGTTGTACATTATCTTCTAGGGAAAGCAGATTAACGCTTAGTCAGTTCAAGACAGGAAGTGTCTTTGTATAAAGAAATAACTTAATAATGGATTCCTGTTGTTAATACCCTATGATTACCAAGAAAGCGTTGAAAGATCTATACCAAGCTGTCATCTCATCCATCTTACAAATCTCTTCACTCACAGTATGAGCTTTGAAAATCCCTCAAGAGTTCTTGTACTTCTAGTTGTGTGACAGAAATACAAGGTAATTCAATTTCATTTGGTGTGATACTGCTCTATTTGTCATATAAGTTGATTTCTATCAGTAGACAAACAGTTTTTCAATCTCTACTTTTATAAATCTTTAATGCTCTGTCTCTCTGTGAGATTAATAGAAGTTTTTAATTTACACTTGTTTGTCTACCATTGTCTATAAATCAACCTATAGTCTAATGATCGTGTCATGTTATAGATTCAAAAAGAGAAGGTTAATCATTTTTGGACCAGGAACTGGACCCCATGCACTATTCATCTTGTTCTTCTTCTCTTGGGCTCTTCAAAAGTAAAGTTAAAGGCTCCCTAAATTCTGGGGGGTTGGACGGCTGAATGGTTAGCATGCTCGCGCTGTATCATACGGTCTGTCATTGAGTCAACTGGCGGGGTTTCGATTCCCTTGTTGTACGTAACAATGAGTAGGGTCGCCTGTCCAACCTCGTGGGTTTTCTCCGGGTCCTCCGGTTTCCTCCCACTGCTAAAGACCCATACGTGCAAGCGAATTATTGAAATAAAAATGAACCCTGTGTTAGTCCCGAAATGACCTAGTTTGTGTCTACTGAGCGTTAAACCCCACTTTTCGCTCTCTCCCTCAATTCAAATATGATCAACATGAAACTTGCCATACATTTTCATAGGACAATTGACCATGTGGACATATTAAAGCTGTCGCCCCTGTCCGTCCGGATGTCCGTCCACAATTTATCTGTTGACACTCTACAGGTCACAGTTCTTATCCGATTTTGACGAAACTTGAAATATAAGTCTATCTCCCAAAGATCATGGTTCCTTCGTGCATATCGGATCATAACTTCCTGAATTATGGCCCCTGATTGTATGAAAAATTGCGTTTTTAGTTTGTGGTCCCTCTAGAGGTCACAATTATTATCCGATTTTAAAAACCATCTGAATGTATCACTGTTACACCATAATGTCGGGTGAGTTTGAATTTGACAGACAAAATGGCAGTACACAGTTAGTGTAAAAGTATGTAATATCATGGTTGTGGACCCTCTAGAAGTCGCAATTTTTATCCGATTTTGATGAAATATATGTTTATAACCTAAAGATCTTAGTTCCTTTTTATATTCGCGCATGTCAGACTGTAACTTCCTGGATTATGGCCCCTGATTGTACAAAAATTCATGGTTTTAGCTTGTGGTTTCTCTTATAAAGGTCACAATTTCTATCCGGAGTGAGTCGGAATGCTTCAAACAAAATAAGTGAAAATGTTGATTTTGACCGAAATTGAGATTTTCACAAAGCAATTAGTTATTTTTCTTCGCTTGCAGTGGGACGACCGGTCAAGCCTATTGCATAATACTTGGCACCGTTCTAAATCAGAGAATCTTTAGTTTACAAATATGACCAAAGTGTTGCCGATGAATTTATTTTGAAGGAATACAATCAAATTTTAAAACCCCTAAAAAGTGTAAACAAACTCTGCTTGTTGCTATGCTGTCTACGCAACTCGTTTGGCCCACACACCGCGTGCAAAGCATTGTGGTTACGTGGCTGCCTGGAGGCTCAAGCGGACGATAGAAATTTGATTTTGGCGATAATGTTTTTTGGGTACCTACATGCAATGCGATAAGTGGCAGAAAAATACTTAATTCTGATTGTATATACAGCTGTAGATTGCTGTTGAGTGTTAAATCAAAACCATGTTGCGGAATACTGTAAATTGAGCAAAAAGCAGATCGTGTCATTGAGTAATACTAATCTATAATCAGCTGTCACGGATCAATGATTAGACCGTTGACAAATCATTATTTACTCAGAATAATTAATCCAAGCAGTGATTATTTGATATCTCTTTTGTCTTAAAAGAAAAATTTGTAGGCCTTATATGGAAATTAACAAAATAAGCAATAATTTTCTTTTCGAAGATAATTTTATTGATAGCTGAATTCTGTTTACTGTCGCTTCATACGGCTGCAAAGTAAAGAATGCATATTGTATATTAGTGTTTAAAATTCTATTATCACCATGGGTCAAAAAAAATGAAAATGAACACTGAGCCGAAACGCAATGATTCTCAAATGGGGAAAACAGTCTGCCATTGTTTAATTACACCGCCGCCAAAATGCACGAAAGTGAACGTAAGCATTTCTTGCCAATGAAATTGAAATTTTTATCATTCTATTAGGGACTCATATTTTGATACAGTTACGGTACCTGAAAATAACAATAGACCTATAATACCTTATTTTAATTCGGTTGTTAACAGAACACATGTACAGCTGTGGCAGCTTCTTTGATGATCAACAGGGAACTAAACTTGATCACCCAAAAGATAGACTACTAATATATAGATTTTCTAAATTTTAACACTATCATTGTTCTCTAAATTTTAACACTATCATGTGAATATGCTGCATGTGTAGCGGATGTTTTGTTACGAAAAGGGTGAATTTACTACGATTTCCGTCTTCAGCACCCTTGAAATCCTAAAGAAACAAATATTAGATATAAAATTACAAAATAGCTAATAAATGTTCAAACGGACACAGCTCAGTCAATTTTTACCCAGTTCAACAAATTATACATAAAATTGAAGGTATTGAGTTGAAAAATGTGAAAATAACAATAAATCAATTTTGAAAATTTCCTCCTTGCAACTCATTATGCCAGCACGGGTTTCCTTTCCACCATAATGAACGTTTAATTTGAATTTCCAGAAAATTGAATCGAAACTGCCCGACAAAATGGCCACTCTTTGAACCCAAATTGTGTAAAAGTATATAATACAAAGGTTGTGGACCCTCTAGAGTCTAGAGGTCATAATTTTTTATCCGATTTTAATGAAACTTAAAATATATCTTTATATCCCAAAGATCTCTTTCTCTTTCGATCTTTGCGCATTTCAGACCATAACTTTCTGGATTATGGCTCTGATCATATGAAAAATTGCTTTTGTTTTAGCTTGTTCTCTATCCATCTCTTGCAAAATGTGAGCCTATCTTGCCTGGCAACCACTGGTTGATAGAATGTCACAATTCCAAGATGGCAGTGAAGGTATCATGCTTGGTTCCTGGTCTATTATAATGTTATTGTACTTGTTATCTAACAAATTAGTTAACCTTCCTTGATCGACTAATTAACGAGATGTAAAAGCTGATCCTAATTACAAAGTGATGGTAATTGCTTGCTGATAAAGTAGTCAATCAACTTGTCAGCTAATCCTTAACAGACATCCAAGTACTTTGATAATCCCATAAATATAGAAGCCTGATTATTATTCAGTAAGTAGCTCACTGATATTGCAAATTATTTTCTACAGTCACTGAAATAAAATCAAACGATCACACAATATTTTAATTTGTAACAATTTTCTTGTTTGCCGTCTGATTTACCATCATTTTAATTTGTAACAATTTTCTCGTTTGCCGTCTGATTTACCATCATACAATATGTTATCATTCACTGAGCATCAGATTATTCCACACAATCGAAACATATATCCATCCTAAAGTTCCCTATTTTTGTATGCCCACATTTTCATGTGGACATATTATGCTGTCGTCCCTGTCTGTCCGTACAGGTCACAATTTTTATACGCCCACATTTTCATGTGGATGTATATTGTTGTCGCCCCCGTCTGTCTGTCCGTATTTTGTTTGTGGACACTCTACAGGTCACAATTTTTTGTATCTCCCAAAGATCTTGGTTCCTTTTCGAAATTGGCATGGATCGGACCGTAACTTCATGGATTACGGCCCCTGATTGTACGAAGAATCATGTTTTTAGCTTGTGGACACTCTAGAGGTCGCCATTTTTATCTGATTTTTATGACACTTGAAATGTATGTTTATAACCCAAAGATATCAGTTCCTTTCGATATATGCGCATATTGGACCATAACTTCCTGGATTATGGCCCCTGATTGTACAAAAAATCTTGTTTTAAGTTTGTGGTCCCTCTAGTGGTAACAATTTTTATCTGATTTAAAAAAAACGTTGAATTTCATGAAAATTGGACCAAAACTGCCGGACAAAATGTCCCCCCCCCCCCTTGTACGTAAATAGTGTAAAAGGTTGTGGACCCGCTAGATGCCACAATTTCGATCTGATTTTGATGAAACTTTAAATTTATGTTTATATCGATGACAGTGCATATCTGAATGTAACTTCCTGGATTATGACCTCTGATTGTTTGAAAAGTTGCATTTTTAGCTTGTGGACTCCTTGTATGCGAATAGTGTAAAAGTATGTAATACCAAGGTTGTGGACACTCTAGAAGTCATAATTTTTATACGCCCACATTTTCATGTGGACGTATATTGTCGTCGCCCCCTGACGAAACTTGAAATATAGGTTTATCTCCGAAAGATCTTCGCTGCTTTCGATATTGGCATGTATCGGATCGAAACTTCATAGATTATGGCCCCTGTTTGTACGAAAAATCACGTTTTTAGCTTGTGGGCCCTATAGAGGTCACAATTTTTATCCGATTTAGTTTAAACTTGAAATGTAAGTTTATAACCCAAAGATCTCGGTTACTCTCAATATTCGCGCATATCGGACCGTAAATTCTTCAATTATGGCCCCTGATTGTACAAAAAATAGCGTTTTTAGCTTGTGGACCCTATAGAGGTCATAATTTTTATCCGATTTAAAAAAACGTATTATTATATCACCGTTACACACTAAGGACGACTGAGTTCGAATTCGTGAAAATCGGCCCAAAACTGACAGACAAAATGGCGGCCCTTCGTTCTCAAATAGCGTAAAAATATGGTATATCAAGGTTGTGGACCCTATGGAGGTCACAATTTTTATCCGATTTGGTTTAAACTTGAAAGGTATGCTTATAACCCAAAGATCTTGATTCCTTTCGACATTCGCGCATATCGGAACGTAACTTTAAGAATTATGGCCCCTGATTGTACGAAAAATTGCGTTTTTAGCTTGTGGACCCTATAGAGGTCATAATTTTTATCCGATTTAAAAAACCGTATTATTATATCACCATAATACCCTAAGGACAACT